CCCAGAATTTCTGCTGCTCAGTGAGACATTTTTGGATGAAGCGAGCTTTGTCCCATTTTATGACCTTTCTTGCCGCAGCTGTTAAATGAACCACTCCCATTGTTAAGTTAGTCACACAGTCGTTAAGTGAATCCGGCTTCCCCCTTGGCTTCGCTTGTCAGAAGTTCGCAAAAGGGGGATCAACGTGACCCCAGGAGACCGCAACCGTCATAAACGCGAGTCAGTTGCCGACTCTCTGAATCTTGATCACGTGACCCCGGGGAGGCTGTGATGGTCGTAAGGGTGAAAAAAAAAAAAACTCGGTCCTGAGTCACTCTTTTCAGTGCCTTTTAACTTTAAACAAAATGTTGTAAGTCGAGGACTCTCAGCTGGCTGGGTGACCTTCGTGCCTTCTCCTGGGTCACCACAGGAGTCTGTATGTCTGATCCTGATTCCAGCTTCTGGTCAGAATATTTATTGATTTACGATTGGAAAAGCATTTGCGTTTGTTCCCCGGTGAGCCAATTTAGGCCTTCGGTTTGTTTCAAGAAACGGCGATCACAACTTAATAATAACGATAATGATGAAAGTAGCAGAAGGTTACTTCAGGTAACCAGGAGACCTGAGCCTTGTCTCATCCACTCCAGTTCCATCCAGGTCTAATGCTGGTCCGTCAGTTCCTTCCCGTTGTCATGACTGCAAGCCACAGGTGCTTTGTGAGTTTGTCTCTCTCTGTTGTTGAAGCGGCACCGAGTTGCGGTGCGGTGCTCCGTGGCTTTAACAATCTTCTGCTGTGGTCAGACGGCACACCAGAGCAAGGAAAGGTCGAGCAAAGGCGTCTGCCAAACATTCTAACCAGGTTACTTTTGCAGAAAGTAGGTTTTGCGTGGCTTAGCGTGTCGTTCAGAGCGTTGGCTTCGCTCAATCCGCTGTTTAAGCATCGTGCGTTTTAACAGTTACCCTATGGAGCAGGGATGGGATTCAATTTTTTTTTTTTACTACCGGTTCGGTGGGTGTGGCTTGGTGGGTGTGGCATAATGTAAAATCTCCATTGCCTCCCCACCCCACTAACCTGCTTTCCAGCTCCGTTCTTCTGTGAGAGTGTTCTGACCTGAGACCGTAATTAAGCACATGCTTAGTTAAAACAACTCTTGTTTTAGTTTCAACACTGGGAATTATTTACATTCCCAGCCTGTAATGAGTCCCAAACAATCCCTTGAGATAAGCACCCACCTTTCTCTCCTTTGAATTGATGCCAACAACAAAAGTACCAAACGAACTATAAATCACCAACCGAAGTACAAAATCCATGCAGAGCTTCAAGGTTGAATCCGAACCGATCAAACGACTTTGCTTCCTGCAAAGGTTTCCTCATCTTGGCCTGACTTTTATCCCTTATGGGAGGGGCAATCACCTCCCAGCCTTACTCCCAAGTCGCCCCTTTTGTTACAGCTGCTCTCGCCTTCTAGCAGCTCTGCGCACACTCACACTGGGAACAGGCTCCCCTTATTTCTCTGCCTTGCTGCTGCCAGACTCCGAAGGCAGCACTATAACTCCCCGATGGTCCTGGCCCCATCTCTGCATCGGATGCAGGACCCTTGTCCGAGTCCTCTCCAGACTCCCGGACTGGTCCCCGTTCTTCCCCACTCTCTGATTCTACTGCCGCCTGCACCAGCTGCTGGCAAACCACAACGGTTACTGCAAAATCCCCTTCCCTCCCCACCCCGCCAACCTGCTTTCCAGCTCCGTTCTCCTGTGCAAAGCAACAAAAGAAGACCCAGCCGATCAACTGGGACTCACTGGGAGGCCGAGAATAGATGGGAGCGGGGCCAGTCAGAGGCAGGATTTGCAGTTGTCCAAACTACCCAAAATTTCTGCTACCTGCTGAATACCACATCTGGCATGGAGGGATATTTTTCTCACTTTATACAGGTAGTCCTCGACTTAAAACAGTTCGTTCAGCGACTGTTCAAAGTTACCAAGGCTCCGAAAAAAAGTGACACGACCCTTTTTCACACACTTATGACCATGGCAACTTCCCCGTGGTCACATGGTTTACATTCTTTGACAACTGACTCACATTTGTGATGGTTCCAGTGTCCGGGGGGGGGGTGTCATGTGATCCCCTTTTGCTACCTTCTGACAAGCAAACTCCATGGAGAAAGGTTGTAAAATGGGACAAAACTCACTTAACGACTATCTTGTCTTAGCAACAGGGGCCTCCATTTTGGTTGTAAGTCAAGAACTACCTGTAGTTCTTTCTATAAGTAATCCTCGACTTACAACAGCTCACTTAGTGACTGTTTCTACACACTTAACAACCGTTGTAAAATCCCAGTGATCACATGATCAAAATTCAGAGGCTTAGCAACTGACTCGTATCTATGATGGTCGCAGTGTCCCGGGGTCACATGATCCTGTTTTGCGACCGTCTGACAACCAAAGTCAACAGGGAAGCAGGATTTACTTAACAACCATGTGACTGGCTTAACTTCATGGATTCACTTTAAAAAACGCTCCAAGAAAAGTTATAAAACGGGGCAAAACCCGCTTAACAGATTTCTTACTTTATGACATAAACCTTGGGCTCCATTGTTGTAAGTTGAGGACTGTGTATTTTGGGGCGGGGGGTACTTCCGTGATGATACTCTCAGTAAATTTGGCACCACGCTCCGAAGAAGGGTTGATTGCTTGGAAAAAGATCTGTTAGCTGGGATTTAGTGGGACGGCTGGATTATGAGCCGCGAATCAACCCAGCTGTCAGGATTCCAGCAATCATCCTAATTAAACCATGATTCTGGAGCCAAACTTCAATAAAGTTCAAAGGGTTGATTAGAGGCGACATACTGGCACTGCCCTGTATAAAGTTGTCATGCCCCTGTTGGAATCTGATTTGGAGGAGGAGGCCGAACAACTGACAGGGAGTGAGAATGTGGCTCCGTTGGCCGTGGAGGAAACTGGGGAAGGGCAAAGTCTGGCTTGGGCAGAGCAGGGTAGAGGTAGAGCAAGGGAGAGGGAGTTCGGAGGAAGACCCAGGCCCACCCCCTCTTCATCCGAGGGCACGCAGGGAGGAACGGAGAAGGGAGCAGCGTGGGTTGCATGGCTTACGGGGGAGGAAAGGGCCCTGATTCTCCCTTCATTAGCTGCAGCTGGGAACCCAGTGTTTAAAAAAGGGAAGCTGCGCGCAGCAAGCTGTTGGGAGCAAATCGTGAATTATCTAGTATCGCCGAGGTTTATCTGTGTTCCTGGCGTCTTCCCAACTATCTGAGTTTTGCCGTGGTTTCAAGTCTGAAATTCCTTCTCCTGCTCTGCCAAGTTAATTACTGCAGCGTGGTTTGTTTGGATTTTTAGTTTCAGTGTGTTTGTACTGAATAGTTAAAGACTTGTACTTGTTTGGACTGAATAGTTAAAGACTATTCCTGGGAGTTTTTCTCCAGCCGAAGGTAACCTGGACTTTGGGGACAAAGTTGGAGATAATGAAGAGACTCTTCTTGCTTATTTGACTGTGTTGCCGTTGTGCCACGCCCCTTTGGGTCATCACAGCAGCCAACTCTGGCATACGTAATTTACAGTCACCTGTGACCCTGTTTCCCCCCCTCCCTCCCGGGTGTGTCATAAATCAGATTCCCCAATTGAGATTCCCCTTCACAGACAGGGTGTCGTCATTCATGTTCATGTTCTCCAATTAAATATATTCATGGGCAGAAGCTCTGGTGTTTTAGTTACAATCTTTTAAAGATAAGAGTTGGAATGTACTTCTGCTTTCAAACTGCTACATCTGCTCTTCCAGATTTCCTCCCTCCTCCTCCCCCCCCCTTTTTTAAAATGGCAACTACTAAAACAGGCATAGGAATGGTTCATGAGTTGACATTCGGCTCCTCTCACTTTTTGAAGGTGACCTGTATTGAGCAAAAACAAATTGAGTGCAGATATAGAATTTAGGGTTGCAAACACCCCCACTAGGCTTGGTTGGATTTTCTGCATGGAATCTTGCTATAAGGCGATCAGCCTGGATATTCCTACTCTTTACCCAAGATGCCTCTGATAATGGGTAGCCCTTCCACTTGATTTTCTGTCAAGATTTCCAGCAAACGCTCTAATTAAATCACGATTCTCGAGCCAAACTTCAAGAAGCTTCAAAGGATTTATTAGAGGTGACATACTGGCACTGCCCTGTATGCAGCCAACTCTGGCCTACATCATTTGCAGTCCCCTGTGACCCTGTTCCCCCCCCTCCCCCCCGGGTGTGTCATAAATCAGCTTTCCCAATTGAGCACTTTCCCCGGGCTGGGTGTCATCAATCACATTCTCCAATTAAATATATTCACAGGCCAAATCTCTGGTATTTTACTTACAATCTTTTAAAAATCAGAGTTGGAATGTACTTCCGCTTTCAAACAGGTGCACGGCTGTTCCAGATTTCCTTCCTCTCTCCACTCCCTTTTTTTTTTAAATGGCAGCTACGAAAACAGGCACAGGGGTGTTTTATGAGTTGACACCAAATAGGGCAGTCAGGTTTGTTCTGGGAAGGATGAACTGGGCAGAGAAAACTGTGTCTCGAAGCCCGTTTTGTGCATTGGGTTTGTGTTCCTTGCCAACGCAACTAACACTCCCGGCAAATTTGGCAGGGCTCTTGCTTTCGCAACACATTCCTACCGTAATGCTCCTATCGCCTCCGGACTCCGGTGAGCATGAGAAAGCCAACTCTTTCCACCCATCCCTGGATCTTCAGGAGAAGGGAACGCTCCCTGGGTGTTGGTTTTTTTTTTTCAAACTTTAGCGCAGGGGTATCCAACCTTGGTCCCTTTAAGAGGTGTGGACTTCAACTCCCAGAATTCCCCAGCCAGCTGTGCAGTCTTTCCTCCTCCTCCCGCCCCCCTTTGGGTCATGAAACACCTGCAAGAAAACGGCCAAGTTCAGAGAGAACCCAGGGCCCCACAATCAAACCCCCAGCTACAAATGTTCCCGTGTGTTTATACTTCACTAAATGCTTAACACGGCTCCCTCTTTCTCTCTTTCAGGCTCATATTAAATTTCCTATAGATTACCCGTATTCACCACCTACCTTCAGATTTCTGACCAAAATGTGGCACCCGAACATTTACGAGGTAGGTTGACTTGAGCGCATGGAGTATGTGCCATTGAAAAAAAAAACCCGCCGGCAGCACCGCCCTTCGTTGCAAAGCTGGAATCCCTGTGCATGGTTAATATTTTGCAATTCCCAGCTCTTGACTCCTCTCCTTCCACCGTCCTAAAGATGGGACGCTTTGGAGACCCGGTGAGAGGGGGGCTTCGCTGGCAGTGCTCTCTCTGGTGCTGTTCTGACCTAAAAAGACAAACCCTCTTGATGCGGACTCAAAATATTCCTGTATTAGGAATGCCGGCAGCCCCAGCAACCATTTTTTTACCTTGCTGGCTAACAAGTCTGCCTGGCAGGGGAGATGAGTAGCGGTCTGCCTCCCCTATTCATCTCCATCCCCTGCCTTTTATCCCCAGAGCTAAGGTGGGGCTTTGCTAGCAGTGGTGGCTCTTCCGTCCCGAGGACCGGCCCATAGATTTCCACTGCTCTCCTCTCCTCAGGCACTGGGACCAGCTGTTCCTCCTCTTCCTCCTCAGCCACCTCCAGACCTGGGGGCTGTTGATTCTCCATCTGAGGGCTGACGGGCGGCCCAGGCTCCACCTCTCTCTCTCTCTCTCTTTCTCTCTCTCTCTTTTCCTCTCTCTCTCTCTCTCTCTCTCTCTCTCTCTCTCTCTCTCTTTCTCTCTCTCCCTCTCTCTCTCCCTTTCTCTTTCTCTCTCTCTTTCTCTCTCTTTCTCTTTCTCTCTCTCTCTCTCTCTCTTTCTCTTTCTCTCTTTCTCTCTCTCTTTCTCTCTCTCTCTCTCTCTTTCTCTCTCTCTCCCTTTCTCTCTCTCTCTCTTTCTCTCTCTCTCTCTCCTCCATTCCCTCTTCCCCCTCGGAGCTCCCAGGTTGCCTTAATGCTGACCCTGACTCCCACACCACCTCCTCTGATTCGGTTACTGGAGGGGCAGCCACAGATGCTCCAGAAATGTGGAAAGGAGAAATCCAGAAAGGGAGCCAAAGAGCAGGTTCTGGAATCTCCTCCTTAAAGGAAAACTCTCTAGAGCCGGGGGAGGGACCTGTGTCCTGGGAAGAATAGGCAATCCTCGACTTACAACCACGATGGAGCCCAAACCTCTCTGTTGCTTAAGCGCGAGACACTTGTTTGGTGAATTTTGCCCCATTTTACAACCTTTTCTGCCACCGTTAGTTCAGTGAATCGCTGCGGTTGTGATCTTAGTGACACGGTCGTTAATCGAGCCTGGCTTCTGCATTGGCTTCTACTCATTGGAAGGTCTCAAAAGGGGATCGTGCGACCCCAGGAACACTGCAAGCGTCATAAATACGAGTCCAAAATTTGGATCCCTTGACCAGGAACTTGTGACTGTTATTCACACTTACGACCGTTGCAGTATCCCTGTGGTCATAAGTGTGAGGAACAGTCGCAAGTTGTAAATCGAGGACTTTCTGAATGCATGAATTCAACCACCGAAGGGTTCCTTGTCCGAACGTTTTTGCCCCTGCTAGGTTTTTATGTTTTTACGTCTGGCTTGACTTCACACCCGTTTTAATGACACGGGACATGACTCACGTCGGTATTTGAACAGTCAGTACACAAGTGTTGCAAGTCGGGGAATACCTGCGTGGCCTCAGTGGCCTTATGAAGCTCTCTCCGCAGCTTTAGTGGAAGGGAGGAAAGAAGGAAGGAAGGAATGAGAGAGAGAGAGAGAAAGAAAGTAAAGAGAAAGAAAGAAAGGAAAGAGAGAAAGAAAGGAAAGAAGGAGAGAGAAAAGAAAGAAAGAGGAAAAAAGAGAAAGGAAAGAAAAGAGAAAGAAAGTAAAGGAGAGAGAAAAATGGAAAGAAAAGAGAAAGAAAGGAAAGGAGAGAGAAAAAAGGAAAGAGAGAAAGGAAAGAAAGAGAATGAAAGAAAAGAGAAAGAGGAAAGAAAGGAGAGAGAGAATGAAAGAAAGAGGATGGAGAAGGAAGGAAGGAAGGAGAGAGAGAGAGAGAAAGAAAAGAAAGAAAGAAAGGAAAGAAAGAGAGAGAAAAGAAAGAGAGAAAGAGGAAAAAAGAGAAAGGAAAGAAAAGAGAAAAGAGAAAGAAAGTAAAGGAGAGAGAAAAAAGGAAAGAGAGAAAAGAGAGAAAGAAAGGAAAGGGGAGAGAAAAAAGGAAAGAGAGAAAGGAAAGAAAGAGAACGAAAGAAAAGAGAAAGAGAGGAAAGAAAGGAGAGAGAGAATGAAAGAGGAAGGAAAGGAAGGAAGGAAGGAAGAAAGAAAGAAAGAAAGAAAGAAAGAAAGAAAGAAAGAAAGAAAGAAAGAAAGAAAGAAAGAAAGAACCTCCCAGGAATCACGTTTGGGGGATTAAAAACGTGGAATTGGTTCTGCAGAATCAGAGGCAAAATAGCCTTTAAATTCAAACTTCAAAGCAAAACTTAGGAAACCCAGACTGCCACCCAGCGGCTTCTCCAGCCCCTCCCTCAATGTAGGGGGGGGGCTCTCTTTCTAATCTTCCGCTGGCCAGAGGAGGTGGAAGATGTTTACCGTGGATCATTCTAGGGGAATCGGTGGCGGCGATCCAGTCCTAAGGCAGCTGGGGTTCTGGCTCCCCCTGGTGGAATTATTTGGAATAAATAAAGTCAATGAAATGGGGAGTTTTCGGGGTGTGGGAAGCGCTGGGACTCAAGAAAGAGGATCGAGTTTCTGTAAGTGTCGAGAAGCCCCCCTACTGCTACAAAGGACACAACCTGGAATCACGGAGAAAACTACCTAACAGGGAGAACAATTAAACAATTCCCTCAACACTGTCCAACTATTTGCAAAGTCTGCGTTACTATTGATCTTCTCATCACTCCTTATCACCCATCCCCTCCCACGCGTGACTGTAGGACTGTATCCATACAATGTATATGGACTGTTTCCTAGCATGATTTGATGGCTTGTTGTACCCTGTGACTATCGTTAAGTGTTGTACCTGATGATTCTTGACTCTTGATGAGTGTATCTTTTCTTTTTATGTGCACTCAGAGCATTTGCACCGAGGCAAATTTCTTGCGTGTCCAATCACATTTGGCCCATAAGGAACTCTATATTCTCTCTCTTCTTTTATGTACCCTGAGAGCATTTGCACCAAGACAAATTCCTTATGTGTCCAATCAACCTTGGCCAATAAAAGAATTGAATTCTATTCTATTCTATTCTATTCTATTCTATTCTATTCTATTCTATTCTATTCT